TTTCACTATTTCTTCTTCTTTTCCAGCGCATGCTGCATTAACCATATGTTACAGCTGTTCCTGCCTTAACGGAGCGAGGGCATCTTTAATGCCGCAGCATTTCTTGTTGTAAGCCTGCCATATCCTGCCCCGGGCTGTACAGGCCTTGCTGGGCCTTGCAGCAGGACTGTCAGGCGTGGGACTAGAGACCGGGTTTCCCAAGGGCTCCAGCTCTCCCTGCAGCTACCCTGCTGACTTGACACCAGAGGGTTAGGAAGAAAGGGGGGACTGCAGCCCTACAGAGACAGCTGAGCGCAAAGGGGCCTTCATGACTGTCTCCAGAAAATGGACAACCGGCTAGAGCTCCCTCCTGACACATCAGTGAGCACCCCAGAACGGATGGATAGGGGAGAAGTTGTGCTGAAAGTTCACAGCCTTTTGGGATATGAACCCTAGTCTGGATTTTGTTGACCTCTCAGCACAGCTTTGCCCAGGCAGGCTGTCCCCAGCCATTGCAGATTAGCAGGCTCTGCATCCTGGCCGTGCTTTAATGTACTCTTGCTCTCCATAGACCTCTTTACAGCTTTTCCTATGTTGCTGTTAAATAAGGTCTCAGATTCTAGTCTGCACGTTGTCCATGCAATCCATGTCTGCTTTTTCCGTGTTATTTCTTTACAGTTCACCTGGTATAACTGAAAGCCAACTGCATTTCATAGCATCAATGGCAAGATTCTTGCAATCGTGTGTCTTGCGCAGCATCCTCCTAGACAGGAGATCCAGAGGGATTCATTTTTGAGCAAAAGGAGAGAACTTAAAACTTCTTATTAGAGGATGTGGAGGACCCTGACAACACTGCTCAAGAAAGTAAACCAGCTCAGAAGAGGAACCTCATCAGGTAGATTTACAGTGGCTGCTAGGTCATGCAAGGGTAAACTCAGCTAGAAGACCCTACTCTCTGTGAAGGAGCAGTGGATCTATGAAGTGTATGGGGAGGAGCGCAGCAGAGAGGGGGTCGATCGGCCCCCAGACCGCTGTTTGGGGCACGTGGGTGCGCAGAAGTGTGGCAGGGGCACCCACTACCAGAGCATGCCTCCAGAGACGGGGAGGGGGAGGCTAAACCCAAGGCACTACTGGAGACTGTCAGGCCTCCTTGGCTTTCAGGATTTAATAAATTTCACAAAGGGCTTCACTAGCAGCTTAAAGAAGCAGATTATTTTCTGGCTTGTGACTTGCTTCAGGCTGATCATATAGGAAAGCCCAGGCCTAATGCAACTCCTGTTCTGTGTTCCTGCCACAAGAAGTGGAATCCTCACCCACAGTCTGGTGTGCAGAGCTTTGGGGAGCAGAAAATAACATATGATGTCCCCCAGAGAGGCAAAGAGAGAGCTGAAAGGCACTAAAACTCAGTCCCACCATTTCCTTCTGCTATGGTTTGGGAAAGGTGATACAAGGATGCAACAGCTTACTGTGGAGCTGGACATGCAGACAGGTTTTTTGGTCTTTAGGTGCGTGAAGGAGACAGAAATAACGATGTCATTTTCAAATTTCACTTTCCTACCATGTAATAACCAGAGCAGCCTAACCCCTGACTTTTTCCTGCGTTCTCCCTAGAAATGCAGTTTTCTGAGATTTCTAGTGCCAGGTTCAACAAGGGAGGCAGGTGGCTTTGGCTCACTGACTTTCTTTGTGCCATCTTAAGCCCCTTTTCCTCTCTGCTTGGGGTCAAACAGCCTCCAGTTGCCATCTTATACATAGCCCTTCCTTCACAAAGCCTCTGGGGGAGAGAAGACGTGGCACTGGCATGTACTGCGACCGCAAGGCCAGCGGCACTGGTGTTTGTAATCAACAGACTGGGATGGTCTGTGGCTTTGTTCACAAGACCATGTTCTGGGCTTTCTAACACAGATCAAAACAACTATCATACCCTGGGGCAAATTAAATGCCAGTGAGCACTTTGCCTTCTTAAAAGATTTATTTTCTTAAGCTTAAGGTGTCCAATACCTCAACTGAAGTCATACTTGGCTTTTTTGCAATCGGCTGCTTGGGTATCATAGGAAGGTAAGAAAGCAGATGCTGAAGAGACAGCTCAAATTAGCATTTAAACCAGTCACGTGGAAAAGTGCCTTTAAATACTGAATAAGACAGAGAAAAAAAAGGCTATCAAAGTCAGATACCCAGAAAAGCTAAAAACATTCTTAGGGCACATGTGACACTGCAAAAGCCTGCAGGTCAGCAGTCCACCAGTCTAACATGACTTCTCTGCAGTCCACTCAATCAAGTCGACCACTTTGTTGGAGGCAAATGCACCTGAAAAATTAAAGCTGGAGACAAGTAGAGTGGCTGAGCTGCCAAAAAGCAAAGCATTTCCAAGTACAATTTGCAAGACTTCAGCCAAGTGCTCGCATCTTCGTTGCCCATGGGCTTGTTATTATTATTATTCATGTGATGCGGCTTTCTGTCTGATCTGTGGTCTTCTAACAGTACTTCTACCATTTCTCAATGTCATCTTCCACTTTTCTGGAGGAGGAATTGCCTGGGTTTCTCCTTTTGGGAAGATAAAGGAGGGAAGTTGGCAAATTAAAATGCGTTAATGCAGGCTTCCCTTTTTAGCACTTTTTAAAGACCAGTCCCAGTTCTTCCCTAAGTGTTTTGTTATTATTTAACCCAGAAGACTGGAAATGCAGCCTCAGACCAGCTAGAATTCCTCCTCCTCCTCCTGCTGCTGCAAAAAGACCTTAGAAACCATCCGTAGGCCTCTAAAGATAGGTATTTTTCTTTGGCATCAGAGCTGTCAGGTCAGCCTTTTCTTTATTCCCGGGGCAAACGTGACTTCTATGTGTACAACCCTGGCTGAGGAAGCTCTTAAACACCTTGTTCTGCTCTAACATGACACGAGATAACCTCTCTTTGCCACCGCCCAATCTCCACAACTCTCCAAGATGTGGTGGGGAGTGGAGCAATACATCTACACTCTTTTAATACAGATGGCTGGTAAGTCAGGTTTCAGTGTACACTTCCCAAAAATCATATGGCTTCAGCACTGTTACCCTTCCCTTTGCATTTGGACTCCTACATACTTTGGCTGGTTTACTGTGCAGCCAGAGTTCATTTGCAGAAGGTATCAACATCATGATCTTGGGTCATGAAGAACTAAATGGATGTTTTTTTTAATTGTTACAATCATACTTACCTGCAAGGATGCTCTGTGGAGTGCATGAAGCGTACATTGGGTCTACTTGAGTGGCTTTGTGCTTCTTCCATGTCTGATTATCTCTCAAGCACCCTCAAAATTCTCTATCTGAAAAGCTCTGGAAGTTCACTTGCCACTATCATTTTAAATAAAGACAACAAGAAGTTGTGTTTTGTTTTGTCCTCTCTTTACCTACCTTCCCTTAAAATAAAATCTAGGTGGCAGCAGAGAAAAATTCTGACTTGATTCCCTCAACTAGAATATATACAGTTTTACACCATCCATTCAAGGAATTATAGGGCCAATAGCAGCAATGTCATTAGGAAAAACCAGAGTATTTTAATACCATTAATTTATTTAACATCAGCTTTTACCTTTATGTCAGTTGCAGCAAGCCTTTTTTTTTTAGAATGACCTGTTTTCATTCTCAGGGATGATAGTGCGCTGCACATAAAACATAAGCCTATTTGGAGGTGCAACATTTGTCAGCTGAGGGTTGAAGAGGGGAAGGTCCCAAGACTGCAGTTATGAAACACACATGTCTGAGTGGGAGTGGAGTGGATATTTACTGAGAACACATCAACCGAGAGAGGGAGCAGCAGAAATGAAACGAGATAAAAAGCAGGAGTTCAACAGAGAAAGAGGTACACCTCTTCAGCTTCGGATTCAAGTGTTCGCTCCATCTTTGTATGAAGGGCATGATTTATCATTTCTTAGAAGGTCTCTTCTTTCTTCCCTGAACTAGAATACTTGCTGCTTTTTTTTGCTCCATGTTGCAGAAGTAATAATGTCATATGTTAATGTCCTGGCAATAAAATTTGAAGATTATTCAACAAAGACTCGGATAACAGCAAAGGCTTGAGTAATTAATATTCAAAAATATTTAATTTTCAGATGTTCATTATATGTGTTAAATTCTTGGTTACAGCAAAAAGATTGTAACATACAGCATCACAGTGACATATAATCAAGCCGTAACAGTGCAGTTTATTACAACTGTGTAAACAAAAATAAGTATTTCTGTAATGGCACTCTTCATGAACCAAATTCTGGCGTACAGAATCTCAGCAGAAGTCAAAAGAAACATTTACAAAGAAAAGAAAACTCCAAATTGAAGCACAGTACATGAACCTGGCCAAAATGGACCAATCCACATTTCATAAGAGAAAAAAGTGTCCTCAGAATTTCTGCTTGCTTACTTTTAAGGAAATGCAATCTGAATTTTTTCAAGGCATCAGTCCAGTACATGAAATATTTTTACTACTATTGAATGATATGAACAAAGAGTAAACATCTCTTATTTATGACCATGTGAATACCTCCTACTGTGACATTATTAAAGGAGACGAGATGATTTGGGAATGTTATTGTCTGTATAGCATGACATCTGCAGAAGATATTCCCTAGGAAACAAAAATAAGCTCTTGAGAAATAAAATCCAACGTGCTCCATCAAAGAACATTTCTTTGTGCATAAGTATCTAAGAGAAAAGGCAGTATCTTGCCTTCCTGTAAAAAATAAACGATTTGATTATAAGACAATGTACATACTGTAAACTGTAAAATTGGGGTTCAACCTGAAATAGACTCATCTCAAATAGATTTTAAATATTAGCACCTAAAATGTAACGTTAGGATTTAAAAATTTTTAGTAGCTTTCAGGTCATGCATTAGTTATAGCTTGCTTGACGGATACAATTTTGCCAGCAACGTTTTAGTGTTCCGTGAGATCCACTTGATAAAAACATATAGGTCTGAATGCCACTACATTTTACACATGTACCGTTTCGGGGAGTTTTGCATATGTTCCATCTGCAGAGAGTAGGCCCCACAGTAGCAGGAGGTATAGATAGAGCAAAGAAGTTATAGTTATTAAAAAATACTGGAAAACTGTCAGTAAATGATAAAATTACAAGCTGGTATCTTCAGTTTACAGAAAGCTATAAATTTGCTTGTTTAAAAAGAGACATCCAACATGTGCTTACTCACATGCTGACACAGAGTTCATGCAAGTTATTAAAAAAAACACCTTATAAATTTTACCCTTCAGAAATGGTGCATATACTTCATCCTCAAATAAACTGAAGCCCCCTCAGAAACAACAGGGACCTAATGTGCAGATCGACTCAAGCAACATGTAATTGCTTCCCCTGTAATGAGAAGTGAACAGCAGTATCAAACAGGAAATTTCATTGAATCGTACTTCATTTCAAACACTGTTAAGTCCAAATCCAGGTTCACTTGTCATTAAGCAATAAGACTACCTTTAAAAAAAAAAGTTATTTTCTTGGAGGAAGAACATTTTCTTCATAATAGCCTGGATTTACTACATTTCCAGCTGGATCATATCTAGCCACCACAAATGTTGAGCCATCACTAGCAGATGCTTTTCCAACTCCCATCTTCTTTGTGTTCTTCCAAACCATTGCTGTGAAGTGACCTGCAGAAAGAGATAAACATATGTCTTCATTTTAGGTACTAAACCTCTAACATTCCCTTTAACATATGAGGAAGCGGGGGAAGACAGAACAATACAATACTGTTTCTAACAGGAGAACAAGCTAAGGACATGAAAAGAAAACTACGTCTAGCATTTTGTCTTGAAAAAGCCTGATCTGATCTGTTTCCACACTACTATTCCCATTTCCATGCCCTATATCTAAATAAGAATACCTAGTAAGAGAATCATGAAAGAAGTAGTTTGATGAGTATCTGATACAAAATTCGACAAAGAAATCATGATCTTCACTCCCTGCAGTGTGAATAGCAGTTCTGACAGTGATGATTATTCATTTGCTTTGACCATCTCATACTCTCCCATGTGTCTGCATGTGCAACTATTCAAAATAACACTGTTTTTGTGGCTTCTTCTGCCTAGTTGTAATAGTCACCCCTGCATTGTGCTGCTCCGTCAGTTGTACCCTCTATGCATAGACAGACCCCTTGGGAGAAAAACATTATTTTCTTCATCTGAAACAAGCTTGGGTGTATCTCTTGCTTGAGCATTATTCAAGGAACAATGTTCTTATGTTCATTCAACACCGGATTGTCAATATGCAGTCAATGGCCTGTGGCAGATCTCCAAATTGTATCTGAAGTTCTCTCTGTGATTGGAGTGATATAACTTGGTAGAAGACACATGTCAATGTAAACAACAGCATGGTACATTCAGTAAGTCATCTATATGATTCCAATTTATTATTTTCTACAAATTAATTTCCCTTAAAAATAAGTTGCCTTTTAAAAACTTTGGAGTCAGAGGAAAAGTACATATTAAAAAACTCCACAAATTTTGCTTACTTCCTCATTTCTCAGTTTCCTTTTACCCTTTTGTGTTTTTTCTAACATAAAACTTTGAGGAAATTCTAGTATTTTTTCCCTCTATTTTTTTTTCTAAGAAATAAAGGTAGTTTTTTGAAAAATACCAAAACAAGTTGGCTAGCCAATTTCTTAAAATAAAAGCTGCGTTGTTGAAGAAACAGTGCCCAGTCTGAACTTACCTGTCCCAGAAGAAAACCCTGGGTTTTGAAAGCTGTAATTTTTTATTTCACTGTACCATCTGTCAGCCACATCCTTTCCTGAAAGACAAAAGAAATCTGCTGTGAAATCATGACATAAACACGGAAGCGTAGCTCACTTATAGCCTGGCCACCAAGTTCTTCTGTTAATAGCTGGCAAGAATTTCTAGAAACATGGAGAAACAGTCTTTTTACTGAAAAGAGTTTTTGAAATGTAGGTAACATGGTAGTACATGTAACTTACCAAATATTTATTGTTTTGCAATAGCTGTTGCTACTCATTTACTAATTAGTCTGATGCTTTTTGTTAAGCATCTCATGCCATCAATGCCATCAATGACTTGGGTTCTGCTCGATGCAAACACAGTCCATCAGTTCCTCCACTGGAGTGCCAGGGACTGCGAGGTCGGCACAGCCTGGCTCAACGCCTGGGCAGGCAACCCACGGAACAGCTGTAGAACCAGATAGAGTTCATCCCGTTCAGGGAAGATCTCTGCAGCAAGGTGCTCGTCTGGTAGGACAGAGCTGATGAAGAGAGCTGTGCTATCTCCAACAGATCAGGAAATAGGAGCACCCACCAATTCTCGCCTGCAGTTAAAACTTTACAACGTTGAAGTCAGAAAAAACTTCGGACAAGAGAGGTCTGTGTGGTACAACATTTGGATTGAATTGGGGCAGAAATCCCTTTAGTCCTCAAAGAAATCATCCGGCAATTTAACACACTGAGTTTACATTTTTTACTGCCCACAACCTTCTGTAACTTTCAGCCTGGAAGGTAGTGAAGACACATCTCCCTCACCTTGGATGAGTGCTCCTGTCATTAGGCTTCTACATACGGCTTTCAGCAGCTCCTCCCTCTTGGAACGTGTTTGAAAAGACTTAAGCGAGCCTTGCCAGATTTTCTGTGCAAAGGGCACAGGGACCTTTTCTACAGGGAGGCCTCCCACCTGTGGATGCAGGTGTATGAAGATATCCCCTTACAGCTCCAAGCAAACCAAAGAAAAATGACACTTCTGACATGCTCTAGTTTTCCATGTTCTCATCAGTATTTAATACTTCAAACTTCTGAGTGCATTTATTTTTAGTGGTTCTTACTTAGCACTTGAGCCATTGTGGATGTCCACTTTGAGGCATTCTAACTCGGGGTGCTACAGTCAGGCGCCTCAAATATACATGCCAAGGAGCTGCTGCTATGTGGAAGTCCTTGTGTCCAGCACATTCACCAAAGGCTTTCACTGACCGCAGCTGTGTAAGGACTATGACTATGGCCAGTGAGGTAGCACTACATGCCTGTGGGTCTCTAAGGTTGATGTTTGCCAAAGAAATAATCCTTCCTTGTTTTCTGTTGAACAGTTAAGGAACCTGATAGAAAGGAGGAGATTCTGACAATCTGCAATGGATCCGGTGGAACAGGCAGCACAGAGGGCAGGAGCTCAGACCAGAACTCGCAGATCCTATGTACTCAAAAGTCTAATGTTACTTCTTTTCCATTACTGGTTGTTAGGAAATTCTTGTGTCAAACATTGGGGGGAAAAAGGGGGCAGGTTTTTCCCTGAGCTACATCAATAATGAAATTTCTGCTTAGCATTCCAGGAAGTATAACGCAAGGCCAGTTGATTTCATAGCAAGCTGCCAATGCTGTTAAGCTTACCGTCATGAAAAATGCTGGTCCCTGGTGGACTGTTGGCCGCAGAACAGCAATGACTCATGTTTTGCTATTTTGCAGAAAAAAGTCTTAAACTTGCACTGTTCTAGAAGTCAGACACTGAGCTGTTAACTCCTTGAAACTTCGGTTGCTTTATGAGTGCAGTCTGCTAAAAGGATGGAGTTGTTAGCCTAGCAAGCTGGCTGTCAGAGCTGTCACTGAAGGGAAAATATTGAATGAAATGCCATCTCTTGAGAGGTTTGTGAACTGAAAGTACTATGAACTATGCCACACTGCTTATTAGGAATGGTGCTCTCTTAGTAGAGTCAATTTACATTTTCTACATAAAAAGGTAGCAAAACCTCTCTTGCTTCCCAAAGTAAATGTTTCCGGAATAACAATAGGTTCCTTCTTTCCCTGCTCTCCCTGCACCACACAACAAACCCTGTAGACCTGTTTTACAGCTGAAGTCTGTAATGCAAATAGAATACCTGTTCATTTGCTACTCACACTAAAGCTAAAATGAAGACTGAAAATTGTGCAAAGAGCAATCTTTATGCAATTCAAGGGGAAAAGAAAAAGCACATAGTAAAAAAAAAACCCCAAACATCATCCTGCCCCACCCTAAACTTCAAAGCTATAAAGGATTTAGATGTGTTTGTGGCAAGCGGGGTGGAACGGAAGTACAGAATGTGACTGCAGACATGTCAGATCTTATGAAGCACATGTATTTAGTGTGTACAAGTGCTTAAGTGACTATACTATGTAAGTAGTATTTTTACAGATGTAAGACTGCATTCCCACTGCTACCAGCACTTCATTCCCTCCATTAATATATCAGTGTGACACAGCATAAAGAGCAGGCCAAGAGAAAGTCATCCCACTCTGCTTACTGTAGCTCTAAGAAGTGTACCTAGGCTCCATGTGACAAGAACTTAAAATCTCCATAATGGAAATGTTGCAAGACACATGGAAGTTTTGACAAACACAGTATCTCTTCATAATTTTTTTTTTAATTTAAAGAATACCATCACATGAAAATTTCGTAAGACACTAATTCAAGGTGGCAATGGCATCAGGTAAGAATACCTCAATCCTTTACATGAAAGACAACGGGCATAGCTGGGTAGCACAATCTGTGATGTGTTAATTCCTACCTTCAGGGATGAAAGCTGGCAACTTATTGCAGCAGGCAGTGAGAGCCTAGAAGCTGATAGCTATGCTCCATTTATTCATGTGCAGGATCAGGTTATCATTATACGGCATTGCTGTCATCCTCCTTGAATTAAAAGGGTCATTACATCATAGGCTGTGAGAAATTAAAGACTGGCTTGTTCCCGGCAAAAGAGAAGGTGACCAAAGGACTAGGTGACTTTTGACAGACTCTGTCTTGAAATCACGTTCAAGAAGTGTCCTGGAAGTGAAGGGAATGAACTGTATCTGTCATATGCCGCAGGAGATGAGGGGGTTCCTACGTGGAAGTTATTGCCATGCAAGAAGACAGGTAGGTACGTTGTGGTTAAACATGCTCTCTTTCCTCTGAAATACTTTTCTTCTGATTCTTTGCCCCTTGGGGAGCAGTAAACAATGCAGGGGTGGGACACAAGCCAAACCAGTGTTGAAAGTGACAGCTGGTACACAGGGGACTAAGGGAAAATTCTGGTTTGAGCCCAGTGACCCCCGGGCTTCCCAGGGCCTACAGAAAATGATCTGAGAGAGAATAGCAGAGGGGTCAGCAGAGCATGGAGCTTATCTGCTTTAGCAGCAACTTGCATGCTCAGACTTGCTGGTTCAGAGAACTGACCACAGTATTTCCATTTCAAGTTATTACGGAATAAGTGTTGCAGTTATATTTAGTGTCCGTTTCCCTTGCATTTGAATGTTTCATTGAAAACAGTTTGCACTCCCCCCCAAAGCCACACCCCCAAAACAGGGGTTGGTTATTGTTCAAAATGCATTTCAATCAGAAGGAAAGAAAAGAAAAGAAATCTCACACCCACCCCTCATTTTTGATTATAGCAGAAATGATTGAAGTTTCCTTCTATCAAAAAGCATGCAGGTCTGTCCTACAGTCAGCGCTGCAGCTTCTCTTCTGTTGTTCCCTTTGCAGAACTAATTTTTGCTTTTTTTTTAAATATCCTTCCTTTTAGCATTGCTGTAAACCACATTCACAGTTTCAACACTTTCTCTATGGAAACATAGTTTGACTCCACCCTTCTCCTAGCAATAGCTGACTGATGACCTGCTCGGTTAGACTTACTAGGTGTTCATTTCAGAACAGTAGGCTGAATGTTGCTCTAATGAGTTTCATCGGTACCATGACTCTCTGGACATATCTACATTGCACAAAAACTTGGTAAAACAATCCTTGAATTAGTACCCACGTATAGTTCTGCCCAAGACTAGGTCCAGAATCAGCATAGTGATTTTATTTTATTTACCCAAGCTATGAGCTAGTAATGTGGCCGCACTGACTGTGCCTCAAGCTGCCTCATATGGTCAGAGGATTGACCATATGAGGTCAGTCCATACATAGGACTAACAGTCCTGGTGTAAAGTTCTTCTGCTGATACCACTCTCTGAAGGGTAGAGAGATAAAAAAGGGCCACTGTATGTAAACAGGTGTCTACTCTTGCCTGCCCATGCCCTGCATCTCATCAGTTGTCCTGTTGTCTCATTAAATTTTATTTCTAACTATTCTCCTGGGTGAGGAGCTCTGTTCTTTGTGGATGGGGGGGCTGAGTGCCAACAACTGATATCAGACCAAGAGTTGCAGGGATCTGGGCATCTGTGGTGCCAGCAACGGGAGCACTAGTGCGGGTGCGAGTGTTTGAGCACTAGCAAAGCGCAAGCTGGACTAGCTGGCGAGCAGGTGAAGTGGTCTGGGAGGACTCGCTGCAGAAGTGTATGGCCACTGCAGGGACAAGGGGGGTCCTGGCCGATGGCCAGGGAGCTGCATGTGCATGTCTGCGAGATGCGCTGTACCAGCAACTGGAGTGGAAATGCAGCCTCAGGGGTTTGTACGTCCAGGTGCCAGCAGCAGGGAAGACTGGGATACAGGGGCAGCTACTGGGC